GCACTCAATATGTACACAGAGCCTTTATTTACCTTTCAGCAAAAGCTCGAGTAAATTCTTACTATAATTTGCTGAAAAAACCTAACGTAAAGTCCCCCTTGCCTATGTATATGATGAGCATGTGCTAGGAAATACTTTTTCACATTTTCTGGCGAACGTGCAATTTTGAGTTGTGTCACTTTTGAAGATCGTGTGCGATATGTAGGAAACATATTATTAACAATAAATTATTAAAAGTGCTGATGAAACTGCTAAAAAAGGAATGAAGCAAACAAAAAAATATTTTAGGTTGAGTGCAGCTGGAAATTACAAGTGTTTGTACATTCATACATATGTATGTATGTATGTATGTATGTATGTATGTATAATTCAAGTGCAAATATATTGTTAGAGAAATAAGCAAATTAATAAAATAAACAAAAAAACATAAGACAGACGTCAACTAGAGTTCCAGTCAACAATCAATCAAAAAAAAACATTAAATTGAAGCAAATTTAAACGAAAAACTAATTTTCTTTAATTCTAAAGAAATGGGCAATGGGGCATATTCGTAGGTTTCATAGTCCATTGCCGGTTCCACCAGCAATTTAAGTGGAAAATGATTTCTTATTTTCTGTCAATTTCCATATGAAATTTAAAAAAAAAATTTAAATCATTTTTTACTTAAACTGCTTTCGTGAAATTGGCTGTAAGAGCCAATTAATATATGCCAAGAAATATGAATATGCTCCAATTTCACAAAAGCAATTTTAAGTAAAAAATGTAGTTTATTTTATTTTTGTGATTACTGATGTTTTAAGAGCGCCATTCGACATTCAATTTGTAAAGCCAATATATTTAGAAATATAAATTACAAACTAATAAATTTGCATAATTATTTGAATTATAAAATACTTTCTTAATAAATTAATAAAAAAAATGCATTTAATTCTCTTGAAATTGGAAACTGGAAAGTCGCGAATGACTTGAAAATCTCAAAACTATTGCCGAACTGTCAAAATGTGTATAAGAAATAATTTCTGTATTCCAGTTTTTCAGCTTCAAAAGTTGAATTGGAATCGCCTAATCATATTAGTGCATAGAAGAGAACATTTGAATTGAGCTTTAACGAAGGAAGTCGGCATATTGAATTACAGGGACTAGCATGGGTGGATGATTTAATGTAAAATTAAAGTGCATATGCATATGTTTTTTAATTTAAAAATTTATGTATTTGAATTTATGTATTCTAACTCAAAACGCAGCGACCTCAATATTATTTTTATTAAATGAAGAATACTTTATTATTAGTTGATCAATTTTTAGCAGAATTTAAGCTCCCAGCCAAATTTATTTTCTGATGGTGCAATGACCTGTGAGCAAAATACTAATAGACTGTAAGACGCATTTGTTGCATAAAACTATATAGCAGCCAAAGGCTCCAATTGGCTCCCGGCAGTCCTTTTCGGACAACGCTAGTATGAGCATGTGTAATTTACCCTTCGAAAATTGTTTATTTTGTATTTTGAGTCAAAGGAGTATTCATACCGAAGCATCACCACAGCCGTTTTTACGAAGAAAATTCGAATGTGTGACTAAATGTCCCAAAAATGCGACCAATAATCGAAATTTGTTCATAAAGTAAGCAACAAATATTGGAATTTCCTAATTACTATGAATTATTTAATATAAGGTGAATATGCTTGGTTTTTAATTAATTACGCTGGCCTTAATATCTTCTTTAACCGACTTCAAAAAAAAAAGGAAGATATCAATTGATCGGAATATTTTTTTTGTATGTGTTACCGGCTAAATTTGGATCACGAGAATCATTCTCGATATTTCTTTTTTTTATCGGAATGGTGATACCTCAAACTTGTAAGATTACTAAATGTAAGGGACTCACTTCCCTTAATCCTATCGCAGATTCCTTTCTCGCCCCTCGTCTACTTCCTAATTTCCCTAAATACCAGTCTGTCCCGGGACATGTATATTTAGTACAGATTGATTATATGATGACCAAGAGATTGCGAGCATCTTCTGCATTCTTGAACGCATGTCAGATTGGTTGTTACCGACCCAAAGTCCTTGATAACAGCTGAAGCGAGTTTTGGTTGAGCTACATAGATTGATCATGCTTAGGCTTCCCTAAACGGCAATTTCTGAAGGACGACATCAAATGTTGTTCCATTTTTTTAACCATCTGTAAAGATCGAGATCTCATCTGCTTAGAACCATATTAAGTTTCTAATCACTTCTTTCGGGAGAGTGGATTTAAAAAATGCGGTCAAAGTCAATTTTCGTGAACTGGTATTGGCGTTTTCGGTACTCGGGCCGATTCTGTCCAGAATAGTGATCCCTTCCGCAGGGTGTTAGATGCCCTTTATCGCCGCTTATAGCCTCGGGTCTTTATTAGAGCAATAGAAGCCAAATAGACAATTTTAAGAATTTTTGTCTGTCTGTCTGCCTGTATTGCTAGAGGCCCAAATTAAAATATAGAAGAAAAAAATTTACAGAGTTGCCACCTGTTTTAAAATTGCAGTTTAATTAAATTGATAAGATAAAGTAAATATTGCAAAATGGCTGTCAAAATAAAGAGGCTTAAAAGAAGGCTTACAGCCGAAAATATTTTCGAGGAGGTTGCCACATGTTTGAAAGTTTTAATTTAATGTAATTGATAAGATCAACGAAATATTGCAGTATGGGCAGCAAACTGAAGTGGTTTAGAAAAGTTTACTTCCGAAAATATTTTTGAGGAGGGTTGCCACCTGTTTGAAAACTTTTATTTAATTAAATTCATAAAATAAATGAAATATTACAATACGGGTATCAAGCAACACAAAAATACTTTTAAGGCGCAGTGAAGAATGCCGGGAATTCGCTAGTTGTTTATAAAAATGAAATCCGCTGAGGTCGTAGTCGAACTGAACCCAAGATCATAAATTAAAAAAAAAAATTAATTGGATAGCATTTTTCTTTGCTGCTTTTCTGACTGCTATCGCTTCAGCTGTCGTGTAATCCGCTCATTTGGCGAATATCTATAATTCTTTTCTAATCTTTACCGCATCTTTATGACTGCTTTATAGAAAAATTTAGTAAGGATTAGAAATGGATTAGACAAGGATTAGAGATATTCGCCACTGTATAGTAGAAAAGGTTTTTGTTTTGATTTATGTTGTTATTGCAGAGGACCATCAAATGTATGTGCCAAAGTAGTCATTTATCTTCTTCCACTAAATAAAAATCACAACATTGCTCATCATTAATTTTTTGCTTTTTTATTTCCTAAAGATTCAGCTTGAGTTCTTC